TGTTGAGCAACGAAGCATGTGTATCTTTTGAGAAATAATTGATGAGTAGTAAGGAGATCGAAGACAAGCCAAAAGTGTGCTAGATGATCTACCTAGGATTGACTGTAGACAAGAATATCATCAAAAAAAAAAAACATGAATGAATTTTCATAGGTATGACTGGAATACCTCGTTCATCAAAGCTTGGAAAGTGATAGGTGCGTTGGTGAGGCCGAAAGGCATAACCAAGAACACAAAGTGGTCGTGGTGGGTGCGGAATGTTGTCTTCTCCACATCTATAGGATACATTGTAATTTGATGCTACCCCGAGCAATGAAATTCCTCCAATACTTCTTTGTGAAATATTTGGCGCCATGTAATTCCTCCAAAAGTTCCGCAATAGTATCTATCGATACTTTCAAAATTAGAAGAAAGAAGGAATCACTCGATTTCATCGATGACAGACTATATATTTCTGGGATAGGAAATTTGTCCTTGATGGTCTTGGTATTCAGTGCTTTGTAATCCACACATAATCGTCATGTGTTATTAGCTTTAGTGACAAGAAGTATTGGTGATGAATAGGGAGATTGACTAGGTCTGATGATGCCACGCTCCAACATGTCTTTGCACTGCCTTTCAATTTCATCTTTCTATGCATGGGGGTATCGATATGGTCGCACCACTACGGGATGCGTTCCTGGCTCCAAGTTGATGCGATGGTCATCCGATTGGGCAGGAAGAAGGCCCTGCAGTTCTTGAAATAAAGAGTCAAATTTAGCTAGGAGTTTGTTGAGTTCCATATCTGATTGGGACTCAATTTCTGCGGCATGAAGTTGTGCAATTGGAGTGGGATGTGAGCCCTCAGTTCCCTACAATTCCATAACTCTTCCATTCTGTTTGAAAATCATAGTTTTTGCCTTGAAATCCCATAGCATGGGACCCAGCGATTGAAGCCAATTGACTCCCAATACGACATCAACTCCATTTAAAGTTAAAATGTAGAGATCAATAAGAATTCGCAATAGGAACATCCCGACACTAACCTGGACTTTTGATTTTACTGTCGTTTGTGACCACGACCTACAGCCTATCCTTAGGTTCACAAGTAAGTCTCAATTCATTCACCCATTTGAAATCTATGAAGCTATGAGTGCTACCCGAGTCAATCAGAATCGTTAAGCTGTGTCCCCCAATTATCCCTTGAATTCTCATTGTTTGGCCTCCTGAATTCTCTCCCGTGATAGCATGTAGTGAGATTTCTGGTTCAATTTCTTCTATGAATTCATGATCTTCGTTACCTCCCTGCACTGATTTCTCCACACCATCTAGCCAGAACAAACGCTTGCATTGGTGTCCCCGGTTGTAAATCTCATCGCAATTGAAGCATAAACCCTTGGCTCAACGCTTGTCCATCTTGGCGCAACTAAGTCGTTTGAATATTATCTGGTTGGGAGAGCTTTTTGGTGTAATTGGTGATGGTTTAGAAAAAGGAATCATGGTTCTCTCCCCCCCCCCCCCCCAAGCCTCTTATATAAATGGGCTAGGCTCATGGCATTAATTAAATCCCGAGGCTGGTGTAATTCTACCTTAATTGCAATGTATTCTTGTAACCCGCTTATGAAAATTTCCACTTCTTCTTCTGTATTAAGAGGACTTGCTTGGGCTGCCAATTGCTCAAATCGGCATTGATACTCCTTTACTGTGCCCCCTTGTCGAAGTTTGGAAAGTTCCCCCAATTTGTTGCCTTGAATTGATGGACCAAAACGAAGGTGACACTGTCGTTTAAATTCTTCCCAAGAGATTCCAGGTCAGTCCTTATCCAGTTTGAGGAACCATACTTCTAAGTGGTAAAAGTCAATTTCTACCTTTTCTTCCTCTGGAATGTGTTGATGGCGGAAGTAATGATCACAACGGCTAAGCCAGGCAAGCGGGTCATTTTTCCTGTCATAAATGGGAAATTCCAGCCGACCATATCTAGGTTTTTGCACACGCCCCTCCCAATGGTTAACTGCCTGAGGATGTCCTCTTGGTACCCAGTTCACACTTCCATCATCTCCCTGTTGACCCTCTAATCTAGTGGTAGCCAAGTCATGAGAGAGCTCTTCAATTCGAGCAGAAAGATGCTCCCTCTCAATTCTATCTTGTTGTCGATCCTCCTAGTACATCTTCATGAAGATCTCAAATTACAGGGCGATTGACTACTAAATCGCCCTGTAAAGAATGATGTTTGTCGGACTTTCTTCCTTTATGACCTATTTTTAAATATGGAAGGGCTCATTCAAGAGAGAACCCAATGATCTCAATGCAAATAAGAGTTTGAAATTTTTCCTCCTCTTTTCCCCAACATTCCAGCCTACAATATAAAGAAACTGTTCAATAACCAACTCCTACAAAGTAGGCACCCCTACTACATTATCTAAACTAACAATCATAAAACTAGGAAATAACAATAAAATTTGGAATGAAATCTACATAAAATCTGCAAGCTGGAACATAATGTATAGCTAAACAAACTCTCATCTTCAAGCTCCTACTTTTCAGCCACGTCTCTGATACACTTACCCTTTGGAAAACTTGTCCACGTGGCTGCTCATAACAAGTTCCATATAACCAGTTAAGTCAAACAAAAGTAAGTGTCGTTGAAGCTTGTTGCTCTGCAGCTAATACCTATGCCAACAAGGACTTAGGGAAACATGGGCTTCAATATGTGTTGTAGCAGTTTAAAGATATAAAACAAACAAAACCCTTACGTAAAATTTTAACATACGAACAATCTAAAGTAGGATTTGAACCTGTCATCAGTAGTTATGACATGTCTCATTATCCCTTTAAACAAGAAAGTAAACTACAAGTCAAGAATCTTTGGCCTATAACAATCTTCTATGAAAGTCGATCTTTACCTTTTTCTTGTCAAGCTATGCATGAACATTCACCTCCAACATGAATTTTATAGAGAGTATCTAAAATATGTTTCAATTGTGCACAACCATTCTAAAACAGTTATTCTTGCCCCCAGCTTCACTTTTGACACATGGTAATTAATGGTGCCAATCCTTTGAAAATATTTTTATAGGTTTTGCATACAAACCACTTGACTTTGGTTTTTTCATGGTTCCCTCTTTTGTCCTTTTGATTTTCCTCCATTTTTCATGTCTCTTGTACCATTTCTTTACTTTCTTCAGACTTGATGGTTAAATTTTGATTTAAGCAAGATCTGTGAAGGAAGAAAAACATGCCTATTTCAAAATCCCATAAATAAACAACACAATGGAAATAGATATAGAACATGGAAGAGGGAGAAAAAATATCTGTTCAAGTAGCCCTAGCCCTCTAATTTTTGTAACAAAGGCAAAACTGAGTGAGAATGACAGAGAGAGGAGGTGAGGTTGTCTTTCAGATGGTAAATTAAAAAGGTTTTGAAGGGATAACCTTTTAAGGGAATATGAGAGGATTAAAGTTTCAATAAGCCAATGAACAGTAGCATTACAGGAGCGATAGTATTTTTCCGAGTAAAGAGTAAATTATACTTTACTTCTAAACTATTATTCTTATTTTACTTTATACCCTTAACTATATAATTTTTCATATTGTACCATAAAATATCAATTTTGTTTCATATTTCTCTAATAGATAATGTCAAGTGTCTAGTACCACTTTATGTTACCTCTTTTGCAACCAAACGATTGCTGGGAATAAAAAAAAAGGGTCGACTAGAAGAAGAAAACTTGGAGTTTTGGACGGGCAAAGTCATAGATAGGTATTTTTCTTGATTTTTAACCTGCACATGTGCAATAAGCAGTTGCTTATTGGCAATACAGGTCACTCACATGCGCATTTATTATCAAAAAATTGACATTCGTTATCAATTTGAGTGATATGAAATAAAATTGATATTTTAGGGTGTAATGTAAAGAAAATTATAATTGAGGGTGTAAAGTAAAATAAGGATAATAGTTCAAGAGAGTAAAGTATAATTTATCCTATTTTTCCATTTAATGATTCAAAGTTTTTATATGACGTTGGGCATATTCAGTGCACACTGAATAATTATCAGAATTATTAGCACTTAAAAAGAATAAGTACTTTAGATGAGGAAACGTTGCAATCGAGTAAGACAAAGAGAAACATAACCGTCAGGTAAGACGAAGAGACCTTTTGAATGAATGAAGAACAGGTTCCAATATATATTTGCTAAAAAGGATATATGGGGTATTAGTTATTTTATTAAGGTTATTTTAATTAAATAAATATTTTCACTTTTGTTGATATTTTATAGTAATATAATATAATTATAGATAAATATAGATATATGTGCATGATTAAATTTTTTTTAAAACGATCAAAACAATCGAAACGTTTCCATTTTTAAAAAGACCAAAATGAATCAATGACGAAATCAAATTTTAATACTTTAATGTGTTTTATAATATTTTCAAATGTTTTTATAATGTTTCAACATATTTACACTATTATTTCAAAATGTTTTAAGGTGATTTAAGATGCTTTGATATATTTCAATTCATATTTTAAAAAAATAATTCTCAAATTCTTTATTCGTTTCTATTTTATTTTCGAAACAAATTGAAACGGATCGAAATGTTTCTTTTTACTAGGTGACTGAAATAATGCATCGAAACAAAATTTTGAAACTTGTATATGCATAATTAATCTCACTTGACCCAAGTATATATTGTGAGTTACATATAATGGGCGATCTATTATTGAAAGAAGTTGAGGAAAACTTCATTGGAAATATCCTAATACGATTGTTACAACTATAAATTCAGAAGAAAAATATTTCCTGAATGTGCAACAAAGATCTAGACAATTACTCAGAATGCTTTGGTCGAAGCAGTAGCTACTGAACCGAAAATGGGGTGTACATGAAAGTGGATATAACTGAACATATTGAAGATTGAAGATTGGACAGGATTTAAAAGCAACTACATATGTGATTGCTACAAGAATAGCGTGACAATACAGATTCTAAGCCACTGCGCTCGAACTGGGTTTTTCATCTAGTCAGACTTCTTCACCAGACTCAGCACCACTCCAGAACTGAGGATTGTAGCTACAAAGCCGAGCGAAACCTCAGTTGATACATGGTAACCTGCAGGAAGAATCGAGAAATACCATGTTCATTCATCTACTTGGGTATATGAGAGACAGAAAAAGAGCTCAATACATTAAGAAAATACCCACCAAAGAAATCCAGGATCATCTTACAACCAATAAAGCCCAGAACAACACCAATGGAGGGCTGAACAAGAAAATGGAGAATCTATTACTGTAAAGCCAAACTTTCCAGCATACAATAATCATGGTCTATATAAACTAGTAAAGTAAAAAATAAAGAGAGGCTGTTCACAGAAAAAGAGGATCACTTTTTTTCCCTGTATTGCTAAGCACTCAAGCATGCTCACGTCTCAACTTAAGCCTACCTTAAAACCCTAATCTCATCAATGTTTTTACTTTTCATCTATGTTCCGGACAACAATTCACTGCTTATCACTAGATGGAAGAATTAATTGAGGAAACTTTCTGGAAAAAATGATAAGCTAAACATGTCTAATGTTTCTGTTCTAGTATATACTTCTGGGACATTCCTAGTGTTCAGTGTTCTAATTGAGGCTCTGGGTGATGTTTAGTACGACATAGCTGGCTGCATCACACATTTTATAGTGTTTTCTCATGTCCTTCATATGCATATTTGGAAAAAAGGGGGGTGCATCAGAACGACCTTGTATGCCTGGGATTAACCAGGGACTTAATTGTCAGTAAAATAGTAAATATACGCAAAGCAAGTCAAATCTTCACCTGTAAATACTCCAAATCTGCCATACTTTCAGAAATGAGGGTGTATAGTGACCTTAGACCTACACCAAGAAGAGACAAGATCAATTAGTCTTTTGCTTCAAAGGAAATAATGTATACCTTATTAGAAGGGCAAAGCGTCAATTTGCATTCTGATTGCAGTTTCTTATCCAACCAAGAGAACGTGATAGAAGAAGAAATAGAGCTCTAAAATACCAAAATTTCATTATTACTTTATCAAAAAGAAACTTCAAGTCAAAATGTCAAAGGCCAAGGAAAACATGATGCATACTCCCCCCTCCCCCAACCCCCAAATATGCGCAAAAGAAAAAAAACATGAATAGCAATATGGAAAATACTTTCTTGATAATCATCCTAATGACATTTCCCAAAGATGATGTATGCTTACACAGATAAAATCAGAAAACAGAGTAACATGTGTCGAACTCTTGGATTCGTATCAGATACTTTTCAACAGCAAATATATTGAGGAATTAAAATTAGGCATTGCAAGAGCTATCAGAAATCAAAGCACCTGTTAGGAAGGGGGAAAAGAACAAGACTTGCCTAAGATGGCAAAAAGATTAGATGTAAAAACTATGAAAGGATCTCGTGTAACACCAAAAACTGCTGGTATTGAGTCAGCCTGAAAAACAAGTATCAAGATTATCAGGACAACATTAGCTGGCAAACCTCGAACCCTTAAGATAAGTATGACCGACACTGGATAAGGGATAAAAATACTAATGAAAATAAGATAAGAGATTAGAGTAACATACAGCAAATGCAATATCACTGAGTTCAATAACTGCTACTGTGAGAAGCAATGGTGTAGCCTGCCCAAAATGTTTCACACCTGTTAGAAATCAAATTAATATTAATTTAAAGCACAAACTCCTCTAAATTCCGTAAACTAAAAGATCCTTTCATGCAGTTTAGCATGTCTAGGTAGTATACGAATATATGATACAGGCATATGAAAAATGGGTATAGTACAATGTCAATGGGTTAAAGCTATCCATAATCAAGGACTTACTTTCCAGACACCACCCTGGAATGTAAAATATCGATTGCCGTCATAATTGGCTGCACCGTCAAAAAGTATTAGACAATTAGGATATTTGGCATCAATAGAGCAAAGTCAAAATGTAAAATATTGCAACTAGACACCAGGGGTTAAGTGTACCAGCTTCATTCTAACTCACCAACAACATAATCCTCCACTAATATGACTATCAGCATATTTTAGAGGAAAAGGAAAAGGAAAGGAAAGACAATCTTCAAATGTCCTGATAGCTTACTGACTCAATTTCCCACAAAAAACCAAGTGCATGGAGAAGTTAGAATTGTCAATGGCAAGATGTCCACCACTATGGCGAGAGCTTTTATTATCACTTTTATGAACCAGAACAGACACATAATGAGAAAACGACAATAAAATGAAATTGAAACCAATTGGTATGAATAAAATGGCATAGTCCTGATCAATACGGCTATAAAGGTTATGCAAGCCACTGAGAATAAAGTCACAAATTGGTGGAGAAAGCAAAATGACTAAGACGCTTTTTTTTTGGTCAAATGTGAGAATCAATTCCATAAACTTCAGGCTGTAACACACTATTCATCATGTCAGCAGGATCACATAAAACTACCTCTTGAGGTGATCCTAGCCTTTCAAACCTGATCCAAGCAAAACCACTCCAAATTCAATTGGAAAGAGTTTGATATTTGATTGAAACTGTGATATCCCCATTGCGTAACCAACCATGACCAATACACAAAAAACCTACAGGCAATATCAAGACTGCATACAGAGGGAAGAAAGAGTAGAAAGAGGGGGAGCATTACAAGTAACTGGGATGAATTTTTGGCATGTCTTTACTATAAAGTTGTTGGATAGATCATCCTCTTCCTCTTCGTCTGCAAACAACTACAAGAAGCTAAAGATGATATTAGCATTATGAGCAGAACTGAAAGAAAGTTGAACCCCACAAGCATTGTAACTCATTTATAAAAACAGAACTCCACTCAAATATACGAATGCATGATAATGTGATGTAATAACAGCATCAAACATGTAGTGGCACTCATGAGTCGTACAGACAGGCAGGTAGAGTGGTCCAACATCATGCCTCCGCTGATGTCATGTCTCTAACAAGTAAACAGAACCTAAACAAGATCATTAATAACATAACGCTGACACCATACATAGCACAACAATGTCCATCAGAAGGGTGCTCTTGAGGTATTATTCAATTCTGTGAAAAAAGGCATATCATGAAGTAACCAACTTCCAGCATATGCAGCGGAGATGCGATCCACATATATAGAGAAGTTTAAAATGCTGTCGTATGGCAGACTTTGGCATATTAGATAAGGCTTAAGTTTAATCCTATGTAATCCTGCAACAATTGACAACCCTCTCTCATGCAATTCCATTACCATGAGCTACAGGAAGAAAAACTTCTTTTTCTTAATCTGGACATAATCTATTATGGATTGCATAATGCGACTAACCCACTGGGTAGAGTTTTCATACTCTACTACATTGAATCTCTTTGGCTAGAAAGCATTCCCAAAGCATAAAAACACAGTTTTTACTCAAGAAATTTGGTCATTTTTTCTGACTTTCTTTTGCACTAACACTCAAAAGATATAGTCGAAAACTCCAAAAAAAAATGACTTAGGTTTTCTCTATTTAATCTGCTAAATAAACAAGCACAATGCTAACTGATATAATTTCATAGATATTTCTGTATGCACTCTTTTCAGAAAAGAAGATGCAGGATTTGTTACTGAAATAGTAAATGCTCTCAAGAGAAACTCTATTTGATCAGTTCTGTTAAGGCATGAGAGCTGCTGTGTTTGAGCATTTGATTTTCAATTTACATGTATCAATGCCCAGACTAGGGATGGAAAACACTTTTTTACGCAAATTGCAGCTTGATCAGCCACTAGGTTAAACTTTAAAAAATTATGTTTTTCATGATATAGTTTTGTTCATGTTTAAGGTGATCACCAATAACTAGACCTATCTGAGTCCATCAATTACGTCTGGCTAAAATGTAGCTGGAGTTCTCACATGCAAGTGTAGTTCTGGGTACCTAAAAAGACACAAGTTCATCAAGAAAAAATAAATGAAAACATATAAATTGAATTGTCATTAGCTAACAGCATTCTGAAGAGAAATAGCACCTTGAATGATGAATAGAGAAGTATTCCTGCCAGCAATAGATTAACTGCCTCGAATCTCTAAATAAATAACATGATAAAAATTTTAGAAACCAATCTAACTGAAATAAAGAGAACAAGTGTAAAATGTGAGACAATAAAAGAACAAAAGTATGTATTATTCTCCACATAAACGTATACTTGCTTGCATGCACGTCCATACGTGTGTGTACATGTTGAATTAGGAAATCACCTGAAGGGTGGCTGTTCCGAGAAGTACCAATGACAATCGGAAGACTATTGCGCCAGCAATACCATACGAAAGCACCCTATTCTACAAACCAAAGATTATGCAGATTTCATAAAGAAAGAGGTAAAAAAATTACCTAGAAAAAGTGCGAACCAAAAAATTAAACATTTTACAACAGATATTCTTTTGCATGAAAGCTTTGCAACAAACCTGATACATAATAGGCACTTTGAAGTATTTGAATATCAGAACAAATACAAAAAGATTGTCCACTGATAAACTCTGTTCCAGTAGATACCTAAATATGATAGTGGCCATTATTTCAGAACGAGGATGATCACAAAGAAGTAAAATTCAGGATGATCAAGCAGAACATTAAACCATAACATGTAAATTCGAGGAACATACAAAAAAGCAACCATGGAGTAGAATACGAATGCCAATAAATGAAATGTTTTTACCAAAAATAATAACGACAATTTGAGGCCTTCTTAACCTATGCCCGTACATATCTTCCCTCATTATTTTGTGAGCTTTAAGGGGTAAGGTGATGGCTTGGGGCAAGTTGTAGGTGTCCCTTAAGAGTGTGGAAAAGACACAAAATCAGCCAAAACCCACAAAGGCAAAGAATGAATGAAACCAAGTGACTGAAAAAATACTTGGAAAAAGACAGGCCTTAGGGAAAGTTGAAGAATTGATGAAATATCAATGCTCAATAATTAAAACTGCTTTTCAAAAAGCACTCCAAATCAGACAAAGAATGACAAAGTGGGCAATGAGTCTTAAGCAGCAAAAGTCTGCCATAACACCCTCACTTCCCCATTTAAATGCTCCAACAAGCAGCATAAGATCATCACTTTTTTCCCCCCACTAAGAATGAAGCTAGATGATGGCTTAAATGAATAAAAGGGGCAGAGAAACCCAGATAACATAACAAAATGCAGTTACTCACTGAACACCATTGTTTTTATATGTAGCAAAAACAAAAGAAAAGAAAAGTACCATATGTTGTATTATTTTTTTTCTTTTTGTGTGTTGAGCTTTAGTCAATCTATAATTTATGTGTACTTTGAAAATGTGACACAACATGACAAACAATCTTACGAGACACAAGCAATCAGTAAACTATGACTACTGTAGTTAAATTATTATGAAAGAAACCATAGTAGCATGAGATAAGTACCTAGAGTGTCCATGGTAATCCATCAGAATACATTGTTCCACAAAGCCAGGCAACTAAGAAACCACAATCTATTCATCATTCGGATAATAACTTATGATTTAGACATAGTCCAAAGTGCAGCATCATTTTTGGGATTGCCTCAAAATATTTTATTTTAAGAAACTAAAAAAGGATAATTCTCTCTTTTTTCCCTTTTTTCTCTTTTTGGTAGTTCTCACACCAAATTACAAAAGCCACACATCCATAATTAAATAATGAGCAGATATAGTGATAGATGCTCATACCCAGCAAAAAACTCAGATGCCTTGCCAACTCCATCTTTCAACCCCAAACCAACACCAAATGCCACTGCTGTGCAAACCTACAACAATGAATGACTTGGTTGATTTCATACTACTGCTACAGAAACAAATTGAAAAAGGAGCATATGCATTTAGGTGTGTGTATCCAGATAAAACTGCAAGATACTGACACATAAGGCAACAGTTCTAATAGAAGTCACATAATTTTCAGGGCTTCCAGTATTCTTTGCTGAATTTCCAACAGCACTGTTGTGAGTGCTTTCAACATTGTTGCCGCCATTATGTGGCTGAGAACTGGATGTCCCTCTGTCTGTAAAATCACCATCGACATTCATTACATTTATATGGAAAACAAATTCACATGCTTTGGATTATTCTGGACGAGGACATAAATCACAGTTCTATTGCACATAATACACTAGCATATTCAGAAAATTCCCACGAAACAATGGTCACTCAGTTGGAAACATGGTTGTAAGTTCAAATAATAATGCAAAAAGTAGTTAAAAAGAACTGCAACAAAAATGCAGCTCATGTGAGGCTCCGATTGGCAGTACAGGCCAGTATTGAAGTTGCGATTTGCATTGAAATGGAAAATTTTAAAAATTGGACCAGTATGATTTGAATTCCAAGTCCAAGCAAGGATCCCACGCAGGGGAATTTAGTAAAATAACTTGTAAATCTTCGCATTCCAACAGTTACTTTGTTAAATATTGGTACAAATACCTAAACAAACAATAACCCCATCCTAGGTAATTAACAAAATTAGAACTAAAGGCTACGGACTTGTCGTATTAACAGTCTGCAATTAGGTTCTCGTGCTTTTCAAGATGATAAAGATTCCTTAAATTTGGCCCCCTTAACCATGCAAGCACTTCCAAAAATACAAAAAGCCTAATCAACCTACCAACTAACCAATTTAAGCCGTATATTCCAATTATTTAGGGTCGGTTATAAGAGTCTATCTTCGCTATTCATTTCGGTCATGCACTATATGCTCATTTAAGTTAAACATTTTCATATATTTTCTTACTATTTCGTTCAATATTAATTTAGATTTACCCCTACTCCTAGTACTATTAAGAAAAATTTTATCACTTTTTCTAACCGGTGCCTCTGTTGGCCTCCGTTGAACATAGTCAAACTATCTTAATCTATTCTCTTTCAACTTATCCTTAATTGGAACTACTCCTATCATTTTTCTAAAATGGTCATTTCGTATTTTACCCTTTCTAATTTTTTCAAACTTTCACCTTAACATTCGCATTTTCACTATACGGATTTTGTCAATATGTTGTTTCCTAGTTGTCCAACATTCCACCTCATTCAACATTGTTAACCATATAACCATTCAGTAAAACTTGCCTTTCAACTTTGTTGTAATCCTTCTATTACATAATATGCCAAAAAAATTTCTCCACTTAAGCCAAACCGGTGTTGATTCTATGAGTTATAACGTCTCCAATCTCTCCATCATTTTTAATCATCGATCCTAAATATTTAAATCGTTTACTCGTTAGTATTTCTTAATTTTCAATTTTAACTTTTTCACTATATTTACTTCTTCTATTACTAAAATTGTATTGCATGTATTAAGTTTTATTCCTATTTATTTTAAACCCTTTTGACTCGAGTGTCTCTCTCTAAATTTTTAACTTATTGTTAATCCCCCTTCGAGTTTCATCTACTAAGGCAATATTATATGCAAATAGCATGTACCACGAAGCATTATCTTGAATGTGCTTAGTAAGTTTATTCATAATTAGGGTTAATAAGTATGGACTTAGGGTTGATCCTTGGTATAATCCTACCATGATTGAAATTTTTTTACTTTCTTCCATGGAAGACTTAATTGTAGTCATAGCCCCGTCCTACATGTCCTTTATCACCTTAATATACCTATTCGTCGCTCCTCTTCTGTCAAACACCCTCCATATTATATTTCTAGACACTGTATCATATGTCTTTTCAAGGTTTATAAATAGCATATGGAGATTTTTTTTTTCTCTCTATAATTTTCTATGAGTGTCCTTAATAAATATATAGCATCCATAGTTGATCAACTAGGCATAAACTCAAACTGATTTTTCGAAACTGTAGTCCAACTCTTAGGTGACGTTTAATGACCATTTCCCATAGTTTTGTTATATGACCCATCAATTTTATCCCTCTATAATTATTACAATTTTGAATATCTCCTTTATTTTTATAAATAAGTACTAAAATATTCTTTCTCCATTCATTGAGCATTTTCTTAATAGTAATAATTCTATTGAATAATTTCGTTAGCCACGACACCCCATTATTCCCTAAACACTTCCAAACCTTAATTTGAATCTCATCTGATCCTAAAGTCTTGCTTTATTTCACTTTCTTCAATCCAATCTCTTCCTCCGAATTCTTTACTCTACAAAAAAACATGTGTGCTCTAGTTTCATGAATTCTACCATTTTCTATTTCTTATAAGTTTCCTAAGTAATTTTTATTTAATAATTTCTCAAAAATAGTCTTTCCACCAATCATTTATTTTTTCATCCTTAGCTAAAACTTTTAAATTCTTGCCCTTGATGCACTTAACTTGGTTAAGGTCTCTTGTTTTTCTTTCTCTAGTTTTAGCTATTTTGTAGATATTTTTTCCTCCCTCTTTATTATCTAGTTTTTTGAACAACTCGTCGTAGGCTTTTAACTTGGTGTCTCTAACAATCTTTTTAACCTTTGTTAGCTAATTTATATATTTGGAAGTTCTCGTTATTTCTATCATTTGGATCTCTTAAAGAATTCTTTCTTTATTTTAACTATATCTTGTACGTTGTCATTCCACCACCAAGTTTCTTTTTCCACAAGACCTCTACCCTTTGACTCACTAAAAACCTCTTTTGAAATTTTTCTCATGCATTTCGTCATCCTACTCCACATAACGTTAGTATCATCCTCTAGGTTCCATACGACCTACTTAAACATTCTACTCATAAATAGTACTAGTTTGTCATCTTTTAGATTTCACCATCTCATTCTTATTTTTCTAATGTTTTTCCATACTTTATGTTGTCCTTTAATATATAAATCTAGAATTGTTAGCCTATGTTGAGATGTTAAACTCTCTCCTGATATAACCTTTCAATCTTTACATACTAAATGATTCATTCTTCTACTTAAGAAATAGTCTACTTGACTCTTATTTGATCCAGTCTTAAGGTTATTAGATGTTCTTCTCGCTTTCTAAACAAGGTGTTTGTCACTACAAGATCATATGCTATTGAAAACCCTAAAATATTCTCTCCACTTCATTTTGATCATCATATTCATAACCATCATGCACCCTCTCATATTGCGTCCTATCTTTTTCTACATGCCCATTGAAATCTCCACATATGATTAACTTCTCTCCAGTAAGTATCTGTTGAACTAATTCATCAATTTGCTCCCAAAATTGTTTGTTAATATGTTCCGCTAACTCTAATTAAGGTGCATAAACATTAATCACATTAATTATATTCTTTCCGACTATAAGTTTGTTTAATATAATTCTATCTCTTTTCCTTGTAATTGCTACTACGCTATCTTTTAAACCTTTATCTATAACAATTCCTACGTCATTTCTTCATCTATCTTGTCCTATATTGTAAACCTTAAATCCTATATTTTCTATCTCCTTTGGCTTCTCACCACCTACTTAATTTCTTCTAAACACGCTATACTAATTTTTTTCTTGCTCATAATGTCTATTAATTCTATTGTTTTGTCGGTGAATGTACCTATGTTTCATGTTGCTAATCTAAGTCTATCATCGTGGACTAATTTCATTACCCCGCATCCGTCCACGACACGGAGACCCTTTCCCATTTATCATTGTACCCGGGCATTGATGTGGCTCTCCAAATTGATTTTCAGAAAGCCCCAAGCCAGGTGGAATGCTCCTAATTGATTTTTTGAAATGCCACAAAGCAGGCGCATCACGTCACTTATGGGGAACGCCCTATATAATTCCATAATTAACATTTTCACCTGAGGTAGACGATTCTTGCTCCTGTTCAGTTCCTCTGGAGCACGCAATTGGTGAGTAATACGTCCGAAAACGACCACACCCTGCTGCTATTCAGTAAAAAAAATCAACCCACGTACATTCGTACGGATATACATATACACACAGAGAGAGAGAGAGAGAGAGGAATACCAGAATAGAAGTGCGGAGGGCGACGGAGAGCGAATTGAACTCGAACCCATTTGGGGTATTTGATTGGTAGTGAATTTGAGCAAATTTTAAGCAACCCCGAGTCGCGTTTCAGGGGAGCTTGGACACCATTGTGGATTACAGAAGCCAATCCCATTCTTCAGACTTATTCGCAAAATGGTTACAAGTTCATACAAAGCCCCCGATGGCACTCCCTTGGAATTGCTCTTTGCTATCCACTGATAGTCTGATAGATACTGGTATATACCCAGCAACCCAGGCAAACACGGCAAGATAGGGTAGGACAGTAACGTCAATTCAATATTATCTTGCTTTTTTGTTTTGCTTTCTTTTTTTTCACAATTTCAAAAATAGAAAATGTCACTTTGCATCCTAAAAGATTTAAAAATTTATACTTTGTATCTTAAAGGTTAAATCTCACACATCACACTCTCAATAGAATAAATTACATGTATAGTCTAAAAACTATAATTTTTATGTCAACTAAGTCCCTAAATTATTTTTTGTGTCAATTGCGACCCTAAACTCTCTAATTATAACAATTGAACCCTTTTGTTTACCTCCATTAGAGTGTGTCATTCACATTACGATGTGGCACAAAAAAATAAAAGAGTTTAATTAACACAATTAGAGAGTTTAAAAACTCAATTAGTATAAAAAAAAATTAGGTGCTTAATTGACAAAAGGGTTATAATTTAAAGATCATATGTATAATTACTCTAACCATTTTATGTCACGTAAGTAGCACACTTCTTCACTTTCCGTTAAAAAATCTAACTGAGGTAAACAAAAAATGTTCAATTGATATAAAAAATATTAGAGACTTAATCGGCACAAGAATCATACTTTGAGGGTCTATATATAATTTACCCCCTTCAATGTATATAATAAAATAGATAGGTTTGAAATTTTATCTCATATATATTTTTTATCCCAAAATCATCTCATCACCCATTTCTATCATATGATTAATCATTTAATATTTGATTAATTTATAATTTAACATAATGTTTAATTCATACATTATCCATACATGATAGTATACACATGTTGAGAAAATTTGTCAAATTACGTATTTTTGTAGTATTTTTAAAAAAATAATGGGTAAAAATAAATTTTAAATGATATAATCAAATAAATAAATGAAAGAAAAATTATTACTTAATATAATGGGATCAATTTGTTTTACAATCAAATTTTATGTTTCATCGTACCTTCATGCGCGGATTATGACTAGTATATTAAAGTGTTGTAATATGAGACTTTCGTTATCTTTCGTTGCTCATTCCGTTGACGTCAATGGAGTAATTTCAATGGAACAAGCAACCAAATGTAAAAGAATGATTTCATTGTAACATTTTTTGATATATGAAAAATCTAATGTATAAAATATAATTTTTGAGAATATAAAAATATAATTCTTCCTCTGAATAATGTATAGAGTATACAAGTAACTCTAAAACCAAAGAAGAAACAAACCAAAACAACTTATTTTTTGTTTTATGTTGGCTAGGAATTTGCCAAAAAAAGAAAAAAAAAAAAAGAAGAAGAAACAAAGAAGTAAAACTAGGTGGGATGAGGCCATTTCTATAATCAATATTTGATTAAAAGTTTAATTTAAATCTCAATGCATTCAGTTGGGCATGGATCATTCAATTTAATGTGATCCAATAAAAAATCAATATGACACATGTTTCTATTTATCTAATCTATATTTATATTTATCTATATCGCTCTTAAAAGTGGATAACCCAGTAAAATTTTTATTTTATTTTTTACACTTCACCTGTACTACAATTACTATAAAACCACTTTGTAACTATAAAAATTTGGCTCAATACGAGGGAGTGAATAAATTTGAAGGAGAATTACGCTTAAACTCTCTGAAGTGTTATTAATTATTCAAATCTTTGATATTTAAAATATTACATATAAACTCCCTAAAAGTTGTACATGTGTAATATTTAGACCATTGTCCGTTAGTATATCAATTAGTAAATTATAATTAGACTTTCTAAAATTTGTGGGCATGTAATACTTAAACTCTTTAAATTTAAAATGTTATATTTAGACAAAAAATATTATAATTAAAGATAAAATATCAAAAATTTTAAATTTTACAACCAAAATTTATATTATATTATGACATTTATTGAAATAAAATAAAAATTAAAAATTAAAAAAATTATAATTAATATACAATTATGCTATCTATTGGAATTTAATTTGGTCATTTAAACTATCAAATTACTCCAATTAAAGTTAGAAGATATTGTGTCAATTACAGTTTGATCCCTTATTTGATTTTTTAGTTTTATTTCAATAGATAGTATAATTGTATATTAATTATAATTTTTTAAGAAAAAAATAGATTTTTATTTTTGATTTTATTTCAATAAATGATTCAATAAAACATGAATTTTAGTTATAAAAATTAAAATATTTGATATTATATATTTTTTTTTGGGGAGGAAGGGGACTTGAACCTTGACTTCAAGAAGACAAAAAATTCACAAGGTAAAGAGTACCATTAGACTAAAAATCCGTTGGTATTAATTGAAATATTTTTGTCTAAATATAACATTTTAAACTTAAGGGTTGTAAGTATTATATGCTTATAAACTTTAAGGGATCTGTGTGTAATTTATTAACGGATACTAACAAAAGGGGTTTAAGTGTTACATGCAAACTTTAGGGGTTTGTATATAATATTTTAAATATCTGGAATCTGAGTGATTAAGTGACAAATTTTGAGAATTTGAGTGTAATTCTTCCTCAAGTTTAATAAGATAAATTATATTCGGACCCCTTTATCACTTAATCAAATAGACCCCTCAAGTATGAAAAATAACATCGGAACCATTTAATGTTTGATCTATTGTGACATATTGACCCTTGGCGCCTAAATGTATGTGATAAACTTAGTTGATGGTGGTAGGAGAGAGAGACAGTAAGACGCAGTTATAACTGATGGGTCAAGCCCAAAATGGCTCAATCTATGTGCAAAGTCCAAATCTCAATTAAGAAGTCCTACCTCATTTAAAGATCCACCAAACCCAACATAGCCCAAGACCAAGTTAGACTATTTGCTTAGCCACGTCATCAAGGGGAGAGCATTGGAAGCCTTATCTGCACCACCGAAGGAAATGGTCCACCTTCACCAAATCTTTGACCGCGTCTCATGGAGAGCTCCTCAACCACCTCGCCCGTTGAGAAGAGATCGGAGCTCCACCGAAATGGTTGCTTAGTCGCTGAAAAGTAGCCTTAACCTGTTAGGGAGCCACTATAAATTGCACACTTCATCAACACTTAGGAGGGGACTGATTGCCTAGCACCACACCTTCCTTGATTCTCTATTCTCCCTCGAAGCTTGTATTCTCTATCTCCATACCCCTAAATTAATAAAGTACTCAATAACGAAAGTCATTCAAGAGTGGACGTAGGTCGAGTTGACCGAACCACTATAAATCTTGTCTCCTCCAATTCTCTCTTTACTTTTACTGCATTTATTATTTACACTTGATAGGTGGTGTTCAAAACCATTTTTGTGCATCATCAATTTGACGCCGTCTGTGGGAAACGACAAAATTTTCACTCCTAAACATTACATCCACTGAAGTAATGACGATCATTACCCAATCCATGAACCAACCTGAAGACAATTCTCCACAAGAGGAGGAGGTTACTCCTCCACCTACCAACTCTATCCCGAATGCTCCAGCTCCGAATCCCCAGCAAATGTTAGAGACCATGCAGCAGCTGGTGGCCCAAAACCAACAGTTACTGCAACTCATGCTTGCTAGACAAGGAGGAGCAAAACTTGGAGGTGCACAACATGGAGGACCCCAAGGAAGAGCACAACACGGAGGTGCACAACATAGAGGACCCCAAGGAGGAGCACAATTCGGAGGTGCACAACTTGGAGGACCCCAAGGAGGAGCGCAACTCGGAGGTGCACAACTTGGAGGACCCCAAGGAGGAGCGCAATTCGGAGGTGCACAACATGGAGGACCTCAAGGAGCTCCATGCCCTGGACACCAAGGAGCGCCACGCCCTACTGCTCCACGCCTAGGCGCCCACTTGGGGGAGCCCAACATGAGGGAGTTCCACCTCCCCCTCCTCTTGCTCCCCATAGAGAGGACCCTTAACTCCAAGAGGATGAGGGCGAAAACCAAAGCATCAAGCATGAAAGTCATTTTCATGATCATTCCAGAGGAGCCCCCAATCATTGAAACGAGAAAATCAAGGAAGTACAAAATCAACTAGGTGATGTCTTCAACGCCATGAAGGCACAAGGACCCGAAACTGTAGACCACCTGGTAAGGCGCACGGATACGCCTTTCAAGCCTGATGTAGCAAACTACCCCCTCCCTCAGAAGTTCAAAATGCCATCTGTGGAGACCTTTGATGGAACAAAGGATCCACTAGACCACCTTGACACTTACAAGACTTTGATGCAACTGCACAACGTATCAGACGAAAATCATGTGCAGGGCATTTCCAACCACGTTAAAGGGGTCTGCCCGACAGTGGTTCGCTAAGCTCTCCCCCGCCTCCATTGCCTCATTTGCTGAGCTTAGCAGATCATTCGTTTCACATTTCATTGGAGGGCATCGCCACCAGAAGCCTGTTACGCACCTACTTAGTATAAAACAGGACCGCGAGGAGAGCTTGAGGAGTTATTTCACTTGTTTTAATGAGGAGGTACTCCAAGTTGATGAGCCCGACGACAAGGTGACGATGACCGCCTTCTTGGGTGGCCTCTATTCATCAAGCTTCCTTTTCTCAGTGATGAAGCGCCCACTGAAAAGCATGCCAGAGCTGCTAGCCAAGGCCCACAAGTACATGAATGTGGAAGACATCACAAGGGCCAGGCGAGGTAAGTCCTCCAGAGCGGGGGAGAAGAGAAAGGAAAGGGAGAGGGACGATAAGAAAGAGACTAGCAACAAGCGTGACAGAACAGAGAGAGTCCCTGTCAAGGACCGGCTAGGTCCTGCTCCTCAGAGGGACCGTAAACCTTCACTCCCCTCAATGCTGCCGTGGGACACATCCTATTCCAGATCCAGGATGACCCCGTGATAAAGTGGCCTGGGAAAATGAAGTCTCCTCCAAATCGCAGAAATCCTAACAAGTATTGCCGCTTTCATCGCGACCACGGGCATGACACCAATGACTGCTACGAACTCAAAAGGCAAATTGAGGAGTTCATCCAGCGTGGTCATCTGCGCCAGTACGTTGCTGGAAGGGAACGAGCACCAC